GACCAGTTGTCACTTGGAGAAAATCTCGGGTTTCGTGGCCATTTCATCCTTGTGGCCACATTTATACAAATGGATGGGATTGAAATATGATGTTACTGGGTGACTGATTAAGTTAACATTAAGCCAGGATCTGCTCAAGTATCTCCAGATATATCACTTATATCTTCGTTTGAAGGTTTTTTTTTTTTAGATACAGCATCAAGTCCTGATGGAGACAATGGACAGTTTTACAGGCAGAAAGTTAGTTCGAAGAAAAATGGATATAAAAGAGAGATGGGTGAACAGTCATTTGTCAGAGTGTAACATGATAGAAACTTTTCTATATGGTTGTTTTATAACCTGACTTACAATTCTTCATGTTCTTAAATGCAGGTCAATGCAGTGAATTGCAACACCAGTTGGAAAATCACCTTGTTCATGAAATTTAGTTGCTACAGAGAAGACGTACTTAAAGGGGTAAGTATGGATGACCTTTTCCCCCCATCGTTATAAAAATTTATTCATTTCCGTAGCTCCTAATTCTAGCTGTTTTTAATGATCAACAGGTAATGTTTCCAGTTGTTTGGAAATGTATCTTTTATAGGAGGTTTCCTTCTTGAGTCCTGTTTATCCATCTTCAAAAATGATCATTTTTAGAGAGTTGGCTGGAAAAAAATAATCAAACAGAAGATAGATTGGAAACCAGAAGTATATTTGCTGGGCATAATCCCACAGGGTTATGAAAAAGGAACTGCATATTTAGTTTTACATAACAGCAGCAAGTTTTAGTTTTAGTTTTATTAACAGCAGCAAGAATTAGCTATGCAAAATTTTGGAAAAATGAAAATATTCCCCCTGATGAGGAAGTAATCAGAAAGATTCTAGAATGTGCTGAGATGGACAAATTAAAAAGAAAAGAAAAGAAAAAGAAGACTCAGAATACTATTAGACATGGAATAGATTTTATGAGTGGCTTAAAACAAGGAGTAGAAGTTAGAGGAAGAAAAACGATGAACATTCCTATTAAAAACAGGGAAGATATAGAACTATAATTTCTATAAATATTAAAAATATGAATGAGTTAAATACAAAGAATGGGAACTGTATTGTATGGGAACTGTAGTATTACTACAGCTGTTCATTTAGGTGTTATTATATTATTAGTATTATTATTAGTAAATGGACAATATTTTTACAGTATTAGCTATGTTTCTTTTTTCTTTTTGTAAATAATATATCCGGATAAAACGCTGTATTCAAAAAACGTTTATGAATAAAATCCAAAATAAAATAAAATAAAAACTGATAATTTCTTTGCGCAGTATCCTACATTTTTTTTCATCCTTGTCAGGAAATGAAATAGCCTCACAGCTATGAACCCTCACATCAAAAAGCAGGTGGCAAAGTGGCCAAATTTTGATAACAGACATTTCCTCTGTCCATCCAAAATAAAAACTAGAAGTGGGAAGTGTTTGTAAGGCCTTTATTTTCATTCCTTTAAGCACTCTGCCTTGCCTGGTGTCCCTCAATCTGCTTCTCACTTTTAACTCCCTCTCATGACCATATAAAAAATTAAAAAAATAAGATGGCATTTGGGGTTTTAGATCTTCCAGGAACATTGCCTGATAATCTTCTGCAGACATTTGGGAAATTTTATGGAAAAACTATAAGTCAATGTTTATCCAATCCCCCCTTTCTCTGTCTCTCTCTTTCTCTCTCTCTCTCTCCCTTTTTCTCTTTTTCAATCTCTTTCTCTCAATCTCTCTCTCAATCTCTCAATCTTTCTCAATTTCTCTTTCTCAATCTCATTCTCTCAATCTCTCTCTCTTTCTCTCTCAATCTTTCAATCTCTCTCTCAATCTCTGTCTCTTTCTCTCAATCTTTCTTAATCTCTCTCTCAATCTCTCTCTCAACCTTTCTCTCTTAATCTCTCTCTCAATCTCTTTCTCTATCTCAATCTCTCTTTCTCTCTC